TGGGGAGGATTTTGCGTGGGATTGGTGAGTTGATGCGTGTGGAGCGGTTGGGTGTGACGAATTGCAGGAGTCAGCGAAGGAGAAAGATGAACAGCTGGAGAATTTGCGGAGGATTTTGGCAGATCTTCGAGAAAAGGCGGAAAGGGCAGAGCCTCTGTTGCGTCTTGGGTCTCCCGACACGTTGCAGTTGTTGGCAGCTAGAGATGTAAGTCTCGTCAGCCTGTTTTTGTGGAGTTGTGGTTAGTTCATTGTATAATATTAGAGTGCCTGGAGGGTGTATGCTCCAGTCCGGTTTGGTAGAGACCGTGTTGTTTGCTCCATAATGGCATGGAAGCGCGCCGCGTTGGTGCATCCTTATCTGAAGACAAGATGTTCGCGCCTGGTATGACAGTATCAAACGTTCAGCTCAAGACAAAGGTTCGTTGGTGTCATATCGGGCGCGAATAAGGTTTCTTTGTCATATCAGGCGCGAAGTCGAAAGTTCCTGGGAGTAAAAACACGCAAAAAAATCTCATACAGGAGGAGCCAGCAACTCCATTTGAGATGCGCCCCTTGGCTTGGCTGTTAATTAGCGTTTTGCGTTGCAGTGTATATGATTAGAAAGTGTGCGTTCCTTACACATTTTTGTAATTTTAGAATTGACTTCACCGTTTTGCAGGGTTTGGAGGAGCAGCGCCAGCTTGACAATGAATGTAGTTCATCGCCAGGCTTGGCTGTGCGAGAAGCGGATAATCATACTGGAACCACCAGCGTAAGAAGATTGTGTTTAACCTTTTCTTGTACATCAGAAAACGGGAACTTTAGAATTCAGCTTATGGATAGGCAGTGGCCATCAAAGGCATTTGTATGTCTGCTTTTGTGTGTATATGATAGGCACGGAAGCTTGACACCTGCGCTGTAGAGCTCGTTCGAGCTCTGCAAGGAGGAAACTATGTACTACAGGAAATAGTCCTAGAACAAGGACGAAGCATTCGGACCCAAAGGGGAGCATTGGAGAGGGCTGAGCCAAACGAGGAACTTCTCAGAGAGGCCCGTGAGCGGGAGAGGTTGCTTTATGAACAGCTGCAGCAAATCCAGTGCCAGTATGAAGTACTGAAAAAGGAAAACCAAACGCTGAAGCATGCGCTCATGAATACAGCACAGGAATCTGTTGATAAGGACGACACAATTCTCAGGGATAGAAAGGAATATGATGCGCTTCGGACGGAGGTAAAGAACGCAACCCGCAACGCTCAAGACGCCAGATACCTGGCTCAGATGGAAAGAGAGAGGCGGATTGCTCAAGTGACGCAACTGAAATCTCAGTTGGAAAAGTGGAAGAGACACCTTTGCCACCAACATACCCTTGTTGACACGAAACAGTACGGCATATGCACCAGCGTTATACCGGAAATTCTTGATGCACTTATACAGGGCTGCTGAATTTCACAGTGGCATGGTTGAGTTGTTTCTTGACTTTGCTGCGGTTCTGTTACATTTGCTCAATGCATGCTCAACTCAGGACGGAGGTCACACTGCCCCGATATGATGGAGGTTGCGTAGCTTCCGAAACAACAAATATATCCTTTTTCGGCACAACTGGAAGAAACCGAAATATCCCACCAGAGCGCGGTTCCTGTTCAGCTGATCGTATTGGGTCTGGATCTTCCAATACTACTTCACATCAGTGTTCGGGAAAGTCAACAAGAGGCACCGCCACGCATTTAGTACGCATGATTCACGCTTATACTGTCCGAAATGTGCTTTTGGAGCCCCCTTGTGATTCGGTCCTCAAGGCTGTGAACTGTTTGAAGCCCAGGGCTTGAGGGAAGCAGAACAATCAGAAGTACAACCACAGGGGATGGTTGTTACAAATCCAGCGGTGCGCCGGGTGTTGCATATGCTAAGGGTGCACGTAGGCTTGCATCTGTTGATTTCATTCAGCCAACACCGCTCCATAATAAGTTAGCATTATTGCATATATTGCATTGCATTAACTTGACTTCCAGTCAGGTCCTGACTGTGATCGGTTTCTGCGGTGCCATCGAGATAACTACGATGATGATTTGGAGCAAATTACTCAGCTGCGTGCTGCCCTGTGATATTTTTGTGAAGGTTACATAGCTGAGAGCCGCATTACAGAAGCGTCAGTACAGTGCACTGGGTTGGCGGTATTGCAGTGCTCACATAGCCACTGTGCCAGTGAGGGACCCCTGCTCCGATCTAGACAAATAGTGATTTTTGCGCACATTTAAATTCCGCCGAATTGGCTTTGATACTCTGCGCATTCCTTGGAAGTGTTCTACACGAAGCAGCAATGATTTTGTTCGGGATCCGCATGGGTTTGTAACGAGAGGTCTCGGCCTGAGACTGGACCACAGGGATCTGCAGTAGTAGAGTCAAGATACTTGTATTTTCCAAAAGGCAAACGGCTTCCCCTCCAGTCTCCAAGCACCCTGGGCTCAGGGCACAAAGGCCTGAGGATGGTCTGGAGAGGAATCGGCCAGTCATGAGTTTCATCACAGCTTGCTGCTCCTGGTGTAACCGCAGCCCCACATGCAAGCAAACCCATTCGCCGTCATGATGGGTGCATTAAACTCGTACAGAACTGCTGAAGACTTAATTGGCTCTCAGTGGTTAACATGCACCCACGTAGAAATGCAAGTACCTACCTAAGGAAAACAATGCTGCACCTGTATTTTCCCCGTCCTCGAAATGTACTGGTGCCCGTGTCCCTGCCTGCACAACTGATGATGGGTGCGCCGAGGGGAGGGGAGAAAGGCGGAAGGTCGGAGCCCCGAATGCAGAAAAGAAAAAGGGAATCACTCGGGGAAGGTGAGCAGAGCCTGCTGATGCTTTTGACTTTCTGCTGCTGCTACCGACCCGTACAGTGCCAGGGCAGGCAAGCGCAGTGGCGTGGCCACTGGTTATACAAGGCGCTGTGCGCCTTGCTCCTGGATAAGAAGCCCCTTTTAATGCGGGCATCCCACCTTAACCAAGAATATGAATACTGAACCTCCAAAGACTTGTTGCAGCGAAGAGCTCGTGAGACGGGTCATCAGGCCAGCACGACAAACGGCCCAGGCCAAAGTATGAGAAGGTGAACGGGCTGTCATCTGAGGCAGCGGCCAGCCATAGGGAGAGCCAGAAGTGCAGATGTAAGGAAAATAGTATTTGCCGGAAAGCAAATCAACGTAAGCCTATGGGCCCGTGTGCGTGCGTGACAGAGCAACGGCCAGAAAAAAGTTGTAAACAGCAGAAGATTGTGCAAATTTAAGCTGGGCTGTGCGTTTCCACACTTGTCGCCGCGGCAAAGTGGAGGCTGGCGAGCAGAAGCTGCTGAATTGCTCGAAACAGGCGGTCCTTGGAAACACACTCAAGTTGTCCGTCGCCCCCTTGAAATTTTACAAATATACTCGATATCTGCGGCATCGCGGGCATTTACACATCTGCCCAGGTCGCCGCTCTCCTCGATTTACCCCTCCCCTCAATGGAGTCGTTGCTGCAGGTCTATGGGGCGCTTGAGAGGGTAGTTTGGTTTCTAGCTGAACAGCTATACCAGAACGCTTTTTTTGGACTGACGTTCAGCCGGGCACTTGGAGGCCAGTCGCTTGCGTCCGCAGTTGCCGACTTGCATACACAGTTTGCAATAGCTCCTGGCGAATCCTATCGTCATGGTTCCCCAGTACTTTCAACAATGCATACCCAAAATAGTGGCTTGATTTCCTCCCCTGTGCGCAATAGGGTGATATAATACGACAGTGGACTCTTTCGACCCATTGTTCTCCGGCGTCCCTGCTCTACGCCGAAACGTCGTTCTCTTTTCTGGCGTTGGACCTAGTTGCTAGAACTCAACCGCGTGTGCTCGCAGTTTCCGGCCTCCATAAGACACTCGCATTCTCCCAGGAGTGCTTGTAGAAATCACAAGGATGCAGGGAGCTCGGACAAAATGACATTCTGCAGTCATCTTCAACCCAGACAGCTTGGTTTTAATGGATTAGCATGCTCGACAAAGCTCGCATTAGGGCAACAAGCGGAGGAAGTTTGCCTTGCGTTGGCCAATTCGCTTTGCTGTCCATTCTCGTATCAACCCGTTGAATTACATCGTAGACACACCCCCAACATGAAGAAGTCACACCCTAGTATCAATCTCGACCTTCTAATACGGTGCAGGAAATAGCCCAAATTGTCCCCTACTTTCTCCACAAAACGGCACCAACGTCCTTGCGAAAAGGAGTAACTAGGGGAGACTGAGATCCTAGACATAGGTGTAAGGGCGTGCAGAGGTCGCAGAGAACAAAACATTTCCGATCTCCTGGCCATTTTCTAAACAGCCAGGAGATGGACAACTGGAATGTGCCTGAGAGTAGCTTGCCCGCATGATTCCCTCAGAAGCATTTATGCGCCCTTCCTGAGTTAGTGGCGCTGGCTACAAGTGCGGGCGTAGGCGGCGCTGCGTAAAGCTGGGCTGTACAAGCCTTTATGGATAACTGCTATGCTGCGTGCGCATAGCTCCCCGGCCCCAACTAATTCTACGTTGTTTCCAGCGTATCTCCCTCTACCTGCTACTAAGGGCGTCGCCGCTGCTGAGAATTCCTTTACTTGTCCACATATTCGGATTGCCCTTTGGGGTTTGTTCAGGACCGCCACATCCCTCGCCTATCCAGCTTTTTGACAGCGTACGACGGTGGGGGCTCTTCCGTGTCTGTACCTAGGTTGCAATGCCCTTATTACGCAAGCGTTTCCTACCCCAGTCTCGCTGCAAAAGGCGCCGCATGATTTGTAGAAGGCACGAGTATCCGCAGCGCCATTGCTTTCAACAGGAACAGCAACGTCAGCTTCCCCTCGTGCAGCTCAAGATTCAATAACCATTGCCACTGGTATTGGTGTTGCTGTTGCTCCAGTGGCTACTGTTGCTACTGCGGCTGTCATTGACCCACCATAACATTAGACGCCCACTTGCCTGGTGTGAGTGATTCAATAACCGTAACTACGTTTTAACATGGGAACGGCTCTACTCACAACCCAGAAAGTGGGCATCTAATATTATGGTGGGTCAATGACAGCCGCAGCAGCAACAGCAGCCACTGGAACAACAGCAACACCAATACCAGTGGCAATGATTGCTAATGTGTGAGAGCACGGGAGCAACAGAAGGCTGACGAAAAGGAGCGCAAGCCCTTTTCGTCACCCGCGCCGCACGAGATCCAACAGCAAATGGTGCAACAGCAAATGGTGCAACAGCAAACGACCCAACAGCAAGATATCTAGCGAGGGAAGAGGCAGCAGGGGATGCAGAGGGAGGGACCGATGGAACAGCAGAAACGCCTCGCTCAAGAGGGGCCGACTCCTCTCCACACCAGTCCCAGGCCCTTGGGCCGCTGTACTCAGGTGGCCTGGATATTGGAGGGGAGCCCAGTTGCTTCTAAGGAACTCTTGTCTTGAGTTATATGACTCCACTGCAGCTCAACGCGTAATGGTGTTTGCTAAGCAGCATGACGCGTTGCAACGCACCCTGTTGCGACTCCCAGTGGAAAGCGAACCCACATGCAACTGCATCCAAACTCTCTTTCAAGCATGCATTAACACTCTGATTATTGTCAAGGATCTACTTGGCCCTCATTAAGCAGACTGTACGCAAGTAGAACTGCTCCCGACAGACCACGTTGCGCTCAGCATACTATCATGGGTAAAGCTGAGGCATTATGCCTGATATCAGTCCAAACTGTTCGCCATACTCTAGTGTGATCACAGTAGTCCAGATCGTTTGCCAAGCTATTAAGGCGTCACGTTTCTGTAGGAGTGATTGCAAACCATTTACAGACCCTCCAGCCTCTATATATGGTGAGCTTGTCCGCAAGACAACGCCACAGCGGGTGGCTTATTCGGATGTGAATTATGTCGTTAGAAATGGTTTTCAACTAAATAAAAATTTCCCTGGGATCCAGCAGCAGGTGAATCAGCCTAACTGCCACACCATGGCAAGCGGCAAGCGTCGACGGACGTCTGTAACTACGCTGCTCACCCACGAACAGGTGCCCAGAGGAAAGGACGAAATCTGCACTGCCAAAACATTTGGGAATTCTTAAAGATAAAGGGAGAATCGCCGGTTGTAGTAAGTACTGTCAGCCCTTCGGCCATCGCACCGTATTTTCTGGCTGCAGCTCTAGGGCTTGCTGACGCGAGCGGCATGTGAACGCACAATATGCTTGTGTAATATTTTAGAGCATGTTCTAGTCTATACAGCCCACATAAAATGGCAAGGTCTACACCAAATCCAGTCCTCCCGGACAGTGCTCTGGGGGGGCATTTTTTTGCAGACATGCTCTTCCGTGGAGTGGCTCAGTTCAAAGATGCTCTTCTCAACGGCAATCCAGTAGCTGTAGCTACCGTGTAAGTTTCCATCTTCCGAAAGTTAGCGCACCTGAGTTCAGCTGAACCCTGTCTCCACACAACCCCCCAAGCCTGTTGACGTGGCGCAGGCGAGTTGTGGGCATTGGGTGGAATTTCATCACCTGCACAATCACCCATGCATTCATATCGTTCTTTTGAATTATTACTACTGAAGTGGGCTTGCTCTTAGCGTAAGACCCAACTGTGGCCCCGGCAGATGACGAAGGCTGGCAAAAGTGTGCTGTTTACTTGCGGCGGATCATGTGGAGGAGCTAGTGCCTCATTGTTGCATCTCTTTTCCCAGGGGTATCATTTCGTTCCTCTTCATAACGGTGGCGGCGCGATGTACGTATTCCCTCCGCTCGTCAGCTTCATCGACGGACCACAAGGTATGCTCACTACTGCTAGGCACAAGCATGGTCCCTCCGTGTTGGTCCGGCACAGTAGGAATGGAATTAGTAGCACAGGCAATGAATGCTTTTGAATATTGAGTGCATCTCAGAGGAGCACAACTAGGCGTCGTCGCAAAGCGTCCGGAGGTGTGTGCAACCCTCCCGCAAGACAGGCAGCAAACTCCCCCGTCCAGCCGAGGAAGCCGCCAAAGAAGATGGAGTGTGAAACTGAAGCTTCATCAAATGCATCAATGGCGAGAACCGTAGAGGAACTACATTCGCAAGAGGTCGATATGAATCAGTTACAGGAAGATGGAGGCGGAGATTGGTTTGTCGTTGCCAGCAAGAAGAAGCCCAGGCCGAAGAAGGCGTGATCTGTTTCATTGTAAGGGGAAGCTGGCTGTTCAGCATTTTTGTACAAACGGCACCACATCAGTTCGCCCAGTAAGGAAGGACTCGCAGCGTGTCCTTTTTTTTCAGTTCAGCTGAGCACCGAGGAAGCAATCCCTTTTGTACTGCACGCACCTGCGCGAGCGTTGTGCCCATCGAGCACACATCTCGTGCACATTGGCACTTTTTATGCAAGTGCCGAATAAGTTAGAAAACAAAGATTCACGGATTGCCAATTCAGAAACAACACGCGCGGCCCGACGGACGTTCGCTGTGTTTTTGAGGCATCCATTTGGTTCCTAGCTCCATGCTCTCGCCTGTGGAGTTCCATGCAGTGAACAACGGCAAATGGCTTTCCACACAGCTTCCCATTTCGTGGGATGCTCTTGAAGTTGCCCTTTAGTAGGATAGGACAGGTTGTTCAGCCGTACGTCGCGTTGGCGGGTACTGGCCAACGCCGACATCCAAACCGCAAGCTAAGATACAATGGTGGATGAGTTGCATGTGGATGCCTCGAAGTTCTTGTGTTCCTCTTTGCAGAAGGGGCGACAGTATAGGGTAGCAAGGCACTAGGGCTAAAGGGCCTATAACGCTGTGAGGCCCCTTATCCCCGGCCTACCGGGCACGCTCTATTGATGACGCGATAGAGCAGCAGAAGCCTCTGGAACGTAAGGGTTGTTAGTCAGTGGTTCTAAAGAGTTGTTAACCTCCTCTTGTGCAGGTAAAAGAGCAACTAACTCCGTATGATCGTAACATACCGAGCCATATTGACCCGCGGCTCGGGGAGCTTGGCGCACTTGAGGGATGCCTTCGACAAATTCATCTCAGGAGGCCGAGTCCACTGTAGTTCCGTACTCAACCAGACGTCGAGACGAATATGCAGCGAAAACATGAGCAGAACTGGCATCAGGGCACTTTTTTCGTGTGCTGGCTCATACTGTCGCAACTCCTTTTTCTCGAAGTGTTTTCGACCTTCTGAAGCTTGAGGGACATTCAGTTATCAGCAGGTCATTGCGTAAAAATCAATTCACGCTAGCAGTACAGCGTTAGCTTTAGTTCCACATCCACACACATACACACACGTTCTGTATGGAAGTAGGCGTCAATCCATCGGGGCAGCCCACAGCCTGCGACCTCTCTGACCACTCGCGCATAAGTAATTCGATCTGCTAATGCAGTAGCAAATTCACCTCCTTGCCTTCCTCTGATGGCCTCTGTTGAATGTTTTGTTGTTTCATTGTTATCTCTATTTGGGGTCTACGTTGCCGTGTGGCCGCGTGGGGCCCGGCTGCGCAATGCAAGGAGTTTCATGGAAGATTTGAGCACCGTTGTTGGAAAATCCTTTATTCATGAGGAAAAAACGATTTGAATATTCGTCATCGTAGTTGAGTGGGGTCGAGATCCTCGAAAGAACCCTAAAAGCCGGCGGATCCCATTAACGACACCTATCCCGACCCGTCCCAAGGGAAAGTTGAGCACTTATTGCTACTCGTTACTGTAACTTCCCTGTTAGCCATGGTGGGCTGTCTCTCCCTTAAAGAGGAACAGTGCTTTTTCTTCGGGGATGGGGGCCATGCACCTCAGACGTTTTGCGTTTCGTGGCAAATGTGGACGATTTCGTTTTTCAGGGAAAGGCAAGGAAGACGCGGAAGTTTGCGGCAGTGAAACGGACAATTAATCCGAAAGATCAACGACTGTAAGAGACAATTTGCACTCGCTTTGTCGTATTACCTCAGTGGTTTGACAATCTTATGCGGAGGTGTCTGCATGCATGCTGTTTGTCCCCTGCTCCAGGCAAAATAAGGAGGTAAAGAAGCTGAAGAAGCGGAAGGAGAGGGAGACAGCTTTAAAAGAGCAGTAAGCATGCATCGGAGCTCATGGTTGCATCCAAAAGACGCCTCCATCCTTAATTGTTTAGGCGTGGTGCAGGTTGGAGTGCATGCTGCTATTTGCGCTCGCAGCGTTCAGCACAACCCTGATCAATTCTTTAGTTACAACACGAATCTGGTCCCTCCATATCAAGTGTTGGTGGACACGAACTTCATCAATGGAGCTATCCAAACCAAGCAGGACGTATTGCAGGGCCTTATCACCTGCCTTGTAGCAAAATGTAAGCTAGAGTATGGTTGTGAAATCGCACAGCCACTGTTTCGAAGGGCCTACCGACAAGCCGTTGTTTTTAGTAATGCCTGTTTTTACTATCTGTACCTACTTTGTGCGCCCAAGGCGACGTATGCGTGACGGACTGCGTAGTGGCAGAACTCGAGAAGCTTGGCCACAGGTATCGGCTGGCCCTTCATTTGGCAAAGGATCCACGAATAAAGCGACTCAAGTGCCTACATGCTGGGACTTACGCTGATGACTGCATCGTGCAGAGAGTTACAGAGGTATGCTCAGCTCAGGCCCTAAAGTACAGCTAGTGTTTTCTCCACTTGTGGTTGTGCACACGGGAGCATCTGCATGTGCTTCTTCGACTTTCTGGTCAGCACAAGTGCTATTTGGTGGCAACAAATGATAAGGATTTGAAGCGTCGCATCCGCAAGATTCCAGGAGTGCCAATCGTATACCTAAAGGGGCGTACGTTTGCGGTAGAACGACTCCCAGAGGCAATCACCGCACTGCCTGCTGCCAAGTCAGCATTCCCGAAGAACTGATGGACAAGATGGGAGAGGCGGAAGAGAGGGTGGACGCATGGCACCCTCGTCAAGAGGCTGTGAAATCATGGTTTTCTGGATAACACTTTTGTGCTTGTGATGGATTGTGGGAGTTGCCAGTGGCTCCACTCTGTACGTTCGACTACTACACAGCGTGCATCCTTGCTTTGCGGGTGTTTTGCTAGTTTGATTTTGGCTGCTCTTCGTACTGGGCAGTGACATCCACGCCTGCAGGTCTGTGTGTGAATTAGCGTGAGAATGGGTACCGAATAAGGTCAATTCTTACTTAGTACGGCTGCAAAGACGCCCAGAGAAGGTCATGAGAGGCCATCACAACCTACCCACTCCCGATTTTCAAATACGGATTGCATTATGCAATCCGTGATCTAAGTTTATGCTTACATGGTGTAAAGCAGCCATATATATAGCGGGTCATGTTTTCCTGGTTGAGTTGCACTGCAAACAGGTTATCTCCAGCTCAAAACGCATTGCCCCAGTCCACCTTCAGAGGACCCTTCGGAAGCAAGGGGCTTGGCCAGAATGCTGGTGCATACCAGCCGGCCTTCGTGCGGTAGCATTGCATTACAAACCCGGAACAGAGCACGAAAATTAGCGCGGTTACGGCGAAAGATGCTGCCGCTAAATGTCGCCGCCACCAAGCGTCGCCCTCAGAGATATTATCCTCTGAGTTCTTTCCCGGGCATACCTTAGTAGTGCTTCTATTCTCATCGAGGCTGTAAACAGGCCCGCACCTGATTTGCTCACTCGAGACGGGAAACCGTACAAGAAGAAGGGCTGCCAGGGAAGCTACTGTTGAGCAACACGAAAGGAACAAGCCCTCCAACAAGAACTGTGCTCGCGAAGTGGGGGCCAACAGCACATAGCGCATATTAACCTCGTCGTACCCCGCAAACGGTACGGAATGAATGACACTAAAAATTAGGCCACCGCTGCACAGTGTGTATGCGACCACCCCCCCTACTGGTACGATCCACTGATTCCTGCGGAGCAATAACATTCCCTTTAAGAACAGCCACCATGCGAACAACAACAGTACCGGAAGCAAGATCAACAGTGCAATGCGCTTTGTCTGGTCCTGAACTTGCCTATCTTCTCGAGCAAAGTTCATTTGTCTGCATACACACACACACCAGTCTTCGGCGATCCACAACCAGCAAAGGTGTCCTGGAACAAAGCGAATGGATGGGGACCCACTTAATAGACAAGGCCTTCAGCGGTGAGCAATGAAATAGAAGTACTTGCCTCTTTGTGCGGATATTTGCCCATTCAAGAAGGCGTTGTTCCGGTGGAGCTTCGTTCTTGAGGCGTTGTAAGAGGAACAACTGGCTTTGCGATGGGGAGAAAAAGTGAACTTTTCCGTGGATATTCTCGCGCTTTTGCTGTTGAAGAAGCCTACGCAACTTCGTATCTTCATCCCCATCCCATCCATCCCCGAGTGAGCCACCAAAGAATTCTGCAGCTAATACTCGTTGGCGTGCAGCAGACAAACTTCCTTTGGATGCAAATGCGACTGCTAATCCAGCCGCTTCAGCTGAACAACGGGAATCTTGAGCTACCTTCTCACTACAGAAGCCATGGAACGCGGTGGGCGGCAAGTGCATGACAATAGGAACTTGCATCGCTGGATGAATTGCGGATATTCCAGCACCATCTCGCGTGCCAATATTTACGACGGCAAAGAAGACTGGTAGGACGTCTTCATTTCCCGGTGATGAGTCTAAACAGCCAGCAAATCCATCCACAATGCGCGTGGATCAAAGCAAAATGCGCAAAATGAGCAAGAAGCAGCAGGCGCAGGATGTAAGGAAAAGAACTACAGGGGGCATATCTAAAAGGCAGAGCGTGAACGCTCAACTTTTTTCTCCAATGTTCCCACCTGAAAGCTTGTAGACTTTTGAGACTTCACGAAATGCCACCAGAGCAGCTGAGCAGTCCCTGCACTTGTTGCTGAGGTCTTGTGCAATGCCTTCCGTGCGCCCTTCAACGAAAGTGAATAGGACAAACATGTGATATGGGCGATGCCCTCCGACATTCCCAAGTGGAACCTCTGCAATTTGATGTGGGCTAAGGGGTGAAGTGAAGCGGTGCAGAGGCATTCGTTGTAAGTCATGGGCTGCCACTTCCACGTTGGAGAGCATAAGCGCGTGAGTTAGGTACATCAGATATTGGAATTCAATCAGGCCGTCAGCAGAAGATTGCCGAAAACGCAGCAGGTCTTGCATTGCATGCATTGAGCCGAACCTCCCGCCGTCGTGTTCATTTGTCTCTGCGGTGGAAGCGAGTACATTTTCGGGTGATATTTCCTTGGCAATTCCCATAGGCTGGTAACTAGTGGCATTTTTCACGAATGGATATCCCTCTGGAGATCCTGAAGTCGGCAAGATACCCGATGGGTCATTTGCAAATGCTGGGCAACCATAGAGTCCAACAGCCCACGAAGACACAGCCAACAGCCGCCGCATGCATAAATAAGGCGGCATCTCCATCAGAAATCCCGACTTAATCACTTCTTGCCTCTCTTTTACTCGGGAAATTCCACGCAGGAGCCTTTTCCCCCAAATGGTTCACGGAGTTGTCCACCGAACAGCTGAGCTGGCATACCGTGCCGTCCGTTGATCATGATATTCAGCGCGCACAAGTAGTTAAAACGAGGGAAACTGTTTTTTGGTTTGGTGCATTTTCCACTGAAGTGGGGCGTGCTATGCAGTCGCCGCCGACGCACGGTTCGGTGTGGCTGGCGAGGGAGCAGCGACGAGAACAAGGCGTTTGGGTTCACTGTGTTAAATCCACAATGGATATCTATAAGACTAATTTTCTCATACGCCTGAATGATATGTCCAGTTTCCTGCTGCAGCCGATGCACCTAGAGTCGGCTATACTAGGGTGCCGTGAAGCGCAGCATGTTCCCTGCTTGGCTCGTGAGCATTTAGGGCAATTCGTCCCTGGATGAGGAATATGTGGAAGGCGAGCTAGATTGATGCCAATCAGGCACTAAGTCGGTTGTTTTCATTTTTAAATCGAAGTTATATACTTTTCTGTGAGCAGAGATCTCCCCTGCTCCCGTGAGGTAGTATGCAACGAGCATAGGGCGGGCGTCGGGGGCGCTTGCAATATCCGTTCTGTTAACGGAGTGTTCCCTTCTCAGCGAAAATTCCGTTCTCGTTCATGATGTTGGCATTGGTTTGCAGTAGCTTGTCCCCTTATCAACTTCCCGTTACTGTTTTAAGCTCAATCCCATGTGTCGTAAGATCTGTGTGGAACCGGGGTAACAGTTGGTGCATGTGTAGCCTGATCTGCCTGAAATTGGAACATATACAGCTAATTGCATGCAAACTGCCTATTGATAGCTGAGAAAGTGCTTAGCAATTAGAAAATTCCGTTCTCGTTCTTGGGGTTGGCATTGGTTTGGAATGCCTTGTCCCCTGAACAACTTTCCGTTACTGTTCAAAGCTCAATCTAATGTGTCGCAAGATCTGTGTGGATCCGGGGTAGCATCTCCGCAATTGGTGCATGTGTAGCCTGATCTGCCTCAAACTGGAACATATGTTATTAATTGCGTGCAAGCTGCCTGTTGAGGGCTGACAAAGTGCTTAACAATTGTACGCAGTGTAAGTGCGTGCATGTGCATCAAGAGTCTGTCCGAAGTTTGTACATGATTGCTTGCTTGGCCTTAGAATGGAGCATGCAAGCAGGCCGAAGTACAACAATTGCCTACAGTGTTTTTGCAGACAGTAAAAGAAGGTTCGGTAATGCTTTCACCTTGGCGTGCAGGATTAGTGGCAACGTGTGTTGCAGTTTGAGCCGCATCCTCTATCCCAGCGCCGGCGCCTTGGTCCGCTGTACTTAGAGCATGTAAGGACTTGAGGGACGGGCAGCTCCGTTTTATGGAACTACTGCCGTAATTCTCTTCGCGCGATTACAGCTCATGACGGACTCGAATAGGATCGAGGGTTCTCGGTAAAAAGGGTGTTTGGACTGCTCGCACTACTTATTCTGCAAGCATTTCAGTGTTCAAAACGATCTCCAATCACTGCTAAGCATTATAAAGGATTCTCATTGCTTCGATACTGAAGGAGTTGTTGGGTGGCTTTCCCGGCACGGTCAAGTATATCAAGGGTCTTACCAATGCTGTCGCTCACGCACTTTCCCGAAGTCCTACCGGTCAGGCATTGTGTCCGGTAACTGCGTATATCCGCGGTTACCCCCTTTTCGCTTCGAAAATGCATTCTTCCTACTCTGCAAGGGCTCTCCATGGGCCTCGACGGCCCTTAATGTGAACCCGACGGCGCTTAATGTGACCCCGACGGCCCTTTAGGGGCCCCAATGGTTCCCCAGGGACCCCAGAGTCCCTTAATGGGGCTCCCGTCCAGCATGAGTTCGACATCCACGCGGCTCCGGTTCTTGCCAAATTCAACAACGGGAGGCGGGCTAAACAGTCTTGCAAAAGACGGCGATCTCTGGCGGAAGGGGGTGGACTACGCAGATTGTACTTTCCAACTTCGCCTGGCACAGGTATTTTGCGCCCATAGCACCACCATGCTGTGGCGGCCCATGGGGAGTCAATGCACCAGGGGAGGGGGGAGGGGGGAGCCACTGAGCCCATGAGAATTTCATCACTGCTACGGAGTGACACAAGCAAAAGCAGCAGAGCGCCCGCAAAACAGGAATTCTGCAGAGCCTTCCAGTTCCCAAAATGTTCCGGGTGGTCATCTCAATGGATTTCATACTGGTTTTGCCATCGGAAGGCGTGATCGCACTTACGTCGTCGTGGATTGACTCAGCAGGTTTGCCCACTTCATCGCGTGTGCGACTTCAGTGAAGGGAGAGTATGCTGCCCACTTATCCATTACTCATCTCGGGAAGTGCAACGGCTTTCCAGGAAGCATCAAGACTGAGAAAGAGACGAAGCTCCCTTGAGGGCGCTGGAGCGAATTCATGAAGCTGCGGGATGCTGACGATACCATGACCCCCGCTAGCCA